CGGACCAGACCGTGACACTCCAGAAACCCCAAGAGCGGACCGAACCGTGACATTCCACAACCGCACCAGACCGTGACACTACAGAACCCCACGACCGATCAATCCACAACTCAGAGTCAATCCTCGACCCTGAATAATATAAGTTCGTCGCTCGCGAGCTCAGCTTTGCGCTGTTTGTACTTCTTACAACGGCATTACTATGCCACTCACTCCTCTCCGACTCTTGATTTGCGGTTTTTTTTGGAAGAGGAGGTGTGGCACAGGCACGTAGGGGTCCCTCATAGGGGGTCCCTGGGGGATACTAGGAATACGTTTTGGACACACAAAGCCCTAAAACCTAAGCCTAAACCCTAAAACCCTCAAGCCAAGTATCCAAGGCTTAGTTGGTTGACACCACAGAAATTGAAAATTTGGGTCTGCGTGCACTCCATAGCATAGCTATTGAACCCTGAACGGCAATGGATGCCAACAGACAGAGGCTTGGGTTTGATGATGTTTTGGGGCTCTGAACCTTAAACTCCTAAGTCCCGAACCCAAAACCCTAAAACCCCTAGACCCTAAGGATTTGGACTGGGGCTCAGGATCTGGGTTTAGGGTTTAGGGTTTAAGGCTGAGGGCCCCAGGATTTGTGGTTATTGCAGGGCTCGAAGCAATTTCCCAAGCTGTCGAAAGCAGAGAGCTCCTCGACATGCACCCTAAACCCTAAACCCCGCAAAGGTTTAGGGTTTGCAATTTAGGGCTGCTATCAGGATCCCCCCCCCCCTCTCCTCCCAGAAGATACCCGCAATACCCTACACATGATAATCCCTCAACCCTATAATGGGTTTAGGGTTTAGGGAGAAGGCTCTGGGGTTGTAACCCTCAGGTCGTGCCCTTACAAGTCTTCTTTTTCAATGGCCCCAAAGTAGCCCTTTGGAATTTGAACGAGCGTGTTCCTCTAAGATCGCTAAACCCTTAACCCTGAACCCCAAATCCCTTAACCCCAAATCGACAATTCCTTAACCCAAAAGCATCAGTGGTGCCCTGGTAGCCCTAATACTGATAATGGGCCCTACATACCCCAAAACGCAATTAGTGTCCACTTAATTTCTCAGTATCTTTTCCATGTGATGCTGCGTGGCAATAGTTTCCATGTTCTTTTCCGTTCCCTAATGTTGACTCTAGCTCACCACCAGACAATCCTATCTCATGTAACCCAGAGTCCAGACAGCTAGTATCCCCCTTAAAACCCTTATTCCTACTAACATCCCCTAAAGTCCCTTATATAAACCGCTTTAAACAGTTGAGATCCTAAACCCTAAACCCTCTATGTGCACATATATATATATATACATATATATACACAGAATCCCCTGTATAACCCCCCTTAAAGACTATAGCTCAGGGTGAGCTGTAGGCTAAACCTAGTATCCCCCTTAATAACACCTATAGTAGTCCCATATATATCCCCTATATAACCCCCCTTTAAGGAGTTTAGACCTTAAACCCTAAACCCTAAACCCTATAGAACCCTATATTCCCCTTAAAGGGACCCCTATATAACCACCCTTTAAGGAGTTTAGACTATAGCTCACTGTAAGCTCCGGGCCCAGGTCTTTGCACATCTCCTGGAGCTTAACTCTGGCTGGTTGGCTGTCAAAATACTGTTGATGTGGGATTTAGGGTTTAGGGTTTAGGGGGGATTTAGGGTTTAGGGTTTAGGGCTGTTGATGGAGGAAATCTTGCACCACCTTAGGTCCCTGAAGTCCTAGGAATTTCAGTAATTTAGAGCCGCTAGGTGGTGCAAGATTTCATCCATTAACAGTAGTAATCCGTTTTTTCTGGGTCTAAGGGTTTAGGGCTTAGTTTGGGTTTACACTCGTTTTGCGTACAAGGCTACGGTAATGTCCCTGTTATTGGGGACCTAGGTTCATGTAGGCATGTAGGCGTAACGTGGGGATGGATATGTACATATTCTGTACATATGGATATGTAGGTCTTAGGGTTTATATATAAGGGCTTGTATGTCGTTCCTTTCTGGGTTTGTTTACGACTTTTGGTAAGGGGTGTTAATAGACCGTCCAAAAAAGAACGAAATATTACATTCCGTGCAGCCTTACAGTTTGAGGATTATGGGTTTAGGGTTTTCAGTGTTTCTTTTGCGTTTAGGGTTTGAAGGGTTTAGGGGTTTATTCAGGATTCTAGGGCTGGTGCTCAGCAAGACGCTGACAGCTAGGAGGTCGTGCCTGAGATTTGCAACATTGAAATGCAAACCCTAAACCCTACACCCTGGCCCTAAACCCTAAACCCTAAACTCTACACCCTAAACCCTTAAGCCTTGTCAGAATGGCGCCTCCAGGAGGCCTCGTTACGATTCTGCTCATGGAGGGTTTATCGAAGGATTTTAAATGTTGATCGAGGTCTTGCTTAGGGTTCCTCAACCAACCCCCACACAGTCCTGCAGATAAATTCCTTTGGTAATTGCTGTATGAGCTGTAGTCTAAACTCCTGATAGGGGATTATACGGCGGACTACTAGATGGGCTTATGAAGGGGGATACTGGGAGTTTAGACTACAGCCCTAAACCCTAAACCCTGAACCCTAAACCCATATCATAGAATCTCAGGGCCCTTTCCGTCTTCCCAAGTTTTGCCCAGGTTGTGGGGAACCCTAAAAAATCTATGAGCTGTAGTCTAAACTCCTTACAAGGCGTTATCTAGGGAATTATATAGGGGACTACTATAGGGATTCTTAAGGGGGATACTAGGAGTTTAGACTATAACCCCTATACTCCCCTATATAATCCCAGTTTCCATGTCATTTTCCATTATCTTTTCCATTTGATTCTCCACTACTACGGGGGGTATGAAGGGGGATACTAGGAGTTTAGACTATAGCTCATATAATTCGAGGAGGATGAGACCGTTGCTTTGGATCAGCTCCACTCCGCAAAACAGCCGTTGAAGGCCACCGTGAGCTGGCCAACAACCCTGAGCCCTGGACCCACTAAGGGTTCAGGGTTTGGGGTTTAGGATTTTAGGGTTTAGGGTTGATGGTTTAGGGATTAGCTCGAAATCCTGCGACCTAAACCCTGGAAATGCGACCAACAGCCGTGAATTGCAGGGGGCTTGACCGTCGGCTTGACGTCTGAACCCCCAAACCCTAAGCCCCAAACTCCATTAGCGACTATTATCAAGAACCAAATGGAGGAGCGCATGCGAAGTATGAAATTAAGACTGGGTTTGCTATAAACGAAGTCGAAGTAAGTACAAGCCCATTAAGTCCACTACTTTGCTTGTGATTTGGGGTTCTTGTCGGGCTTGAAGTTCCCAATAACAAACCTATACATTAGGAGGACCCCCCACCCTGTAATAGTGGTATACTACCAGTAGGGATATAAGAGGACCCTCATATAATCCCTATTATCCCCTATAGTCACTATTTTCTGGGTGGGGGGTCCACCTAACCTATAAACCTTAAAACCTAAACTCTAAAGTCCTGAAGATTCTCCCGAAGCATTTTCTGCAGGAGCACCGGGCTTTTCAGCTCTGTTCCCTAGCGGGGCACTGCTAGGTTTGGGGTTTAGGGATCAGGGTTTAGAGGCTTAGGGTTTAGGGTTCTACTAGGTTCTGGGGCCCTATGGAAATGGGTCTGGGATTTAGGGTTTGGGATTTTGGGCCTGGTACAATTTCTGGCTTCATAGGGATGATATGGAGATTGAGGATATCAACCGCTAAGTCAAAATCAACCTGTTGACCCCCCCAAGTAGATAGAATCTGGCTTTGGGAATGTGATAATAAAATCACATATACCCCAAATTCTTTCTACTTAAGGGTGACTATACCCCTGTTCAGTGGAATCAAAGGTTGGAAAGAAGCAGGAAAATACGTTATTTTGGGCGGAGGGTTTGGGGTCGAAACATTATATAGGGTCTAGGGTACAGGCTTCAGGGATACATGGAAAATTGAAGAGGGGGGCCCGAATATAGACCCCCAAATACTTTACCCCTTGTTTTAAGGACCTTCTAATGGTACCCCTAGTTTTGGGAAACCCCCACATCTCCAGGTTCATGGTGGATGGACTAAGATTCAAGTCTAAGGCCTACAGCCTCTCAGGGTTTAGGGTTTAGGGTCCTACCTGTCCACTGGAAATCTGATTGCAGTACACGCGAAACCCTGAACCCTAACAATGGGTGTCCAGAGCCTAACTTATTATGGGCATTACAACACTACTATCATGATTATTACTATTACTCCAACTACTATTACAGCTATGGTTGTTACCGTATTTAATACTAGTCTCATTGCTATTTCATTGTCACCATTATTCCTACTAACCTACACACCAGCACCATGTTCCAACAGCAGCCTCAATGGATGGATATGACTGGAAACGCAACATCCGCATGATGAGAAGCCCCTTGATTTCTTGAATACTGTCGTGGCAGACTGTTCGTGGTTCCGGGCAATGCGCAAAGTCTTCCTGCCTCTTAGGCTATTGCCGCGCTGCCTCACGAGAAGTGCCGAGGGCTGGTGCAGGAGGGGAGGTGTGCCCTTTCCTCCGCAATGATCTCGGCGACAGTTCTGCCTGCAGATCTCCATTTGGGACAGCTTGGCAGCTTCGTCGTAAGGACTTCCGCCTTGGCTGTCGAGCGGGCCGTCTGGGCTACGCCGATGACTGCCAGCATCGGCTTCGGTTTCCATTCCTGATCGTCCACTGTGTGGATCTCGCCGCCCACCATGTCATGGGCACTTGCGGAAGGCGCCATTTTTGGGGGGCGTCGGGTTCAGGGCTCAGGGAAGATGAAGTTGATGGAGGAAATCTTACACCGCCAAGGGTCCCGAAGTCTGGTAACTACTATAATAAATTGGGGTTAGAAGCATAATAATAAATCCGGGTTATAGGCAGAAGGGAAAAGCACATGGAAACTGCTATAGTATGTTCGGGTTATTAAAGAATAATGGAAAAGAACATGGAAACTACTATAGTAGATTGGGGTTATAAAAGGATAATGGAAAAGAACATGGAAACTGCTGTAGTATGTTGGGGTTATCTGGGGACAATGGGAAAGAACATGGAAACTACTATAGTATTTTGGGGCTATATAAGGATAATGGAAAACAAATTGGAAACAACTAGAGTATATTGGGGTGTCTAAGGATAATGAAATAGAATATGGAATCCCTAAACCCTAAACCCTAAATCCCTATACCCTAGACCTGTTCCTGGAGTCAGGGGACTCCAGCTCATGCGGGATTTCTTCCATCAACATGGTCGAGACAATCTTCCAAACTACAAATCGCTCCATCCACATCTGAGGTTAGAAGGATGGCCCCCAGTGGTGGTCCTTCATTCCAGGGTCCCCTACCTAGACTCTAAACCCTAAACCCTAAATCCAAAAACCCGAAACCCTAGCCCTAAACCCTAAACCCTAAACCCTAAATCCAGAAAGCCTAAACCCTAGTTCCACACAATTTGAAGTCTGAAGGCGCCCCCCCACATCCCCAGAAAACCTTGGGCCCATCTCAAGACCCATACCTGGACCCCAAAAGTATGTAAAATAATTGCCTTTATGGCAATTCTTGTGGGTTTTGGGCTATTACTTTACATA